GTCAATGTTATTCTCCAATTTTCTTCATTTCGATTCTAATAGTGTCATTTGCTTGCTTCGTGGTTGCCTTTTGAGGGCTTTTAGCAAAGGATCAAAGCTACTTTCATCATTAAAGAATGCACCCGTGAAATGCCTTTGGAAACATTGCCCCGTACATCCCTAAAGAGGTGCATTCTAATCCTTTGTCTGTTTGTGGAAATATGAATTTCGTTCACGTTGTTTCTTCACCTATATTGAAACTAATTCTAAGCAGCATGCAGTGTAAAATTACATTAAAATGCAGCAATTTTTACTGTCTGTTTGTGGCAATATGAATTTCGTTCACGTTGTTTCTTCACCTATATTGAAACTAATTCTAAGCAGCATGCAGTGTAAAATTACATTAAAATGCAGCAATTTTTACTGCAAAAAATATCAATCAAAGTGCAGGTTCATCATTCACGTGCATATTTTTTACTGATATTTAGAATTCCGTACAACTGTTGTTTTTTCCAATGTATTATTTTGTCTAAAAACATGTATTTTAGCCTTTGAAAGTGCATTTATGTAATTCAGTGATAGCAAGTCTGTTTAAAATATTAAACTGACACGCAAACAGCAAGAGCAACTTATGTTCCTTTACTCACTCGCAGATTATATACACGAATTGGGTTTTTAATGCAACATTTAAATACTATACGAGTGCAGTATTACCAAACACTCGATATAACATAATCAGCTTTAGTGGGATAAAAACACGACTTCTGCAGTCAAAAATAGATGTGCTTGGAGAATAAGGACAGAAAGTGTAGCATGTGTGTTTTACATTGGCGCAGGGTTGACAGCTTTCCATTAAACTTCATTTAAGTTCCACTTTTAGTTTGCTATAACCCATTAAACTGTAGTTTTTTTTTATGTGTGTACCAACTTATTCAATCATCCACTCATTTAAACAACACATTCCAATATCCCCAAATGTCCCTTTTGCAGGTGGTCTAACTACCACCACATTTGCCATTCAAGCGGAGTCAATCTAAATGCGATGCATACATTTCCCATCGAATTTTGAATCCAATTAATTATTTAAAACTCATATAGCCCTAACGCACCATTTGACCACGTTTCATCAAAGGTATTTTTTTTCAAACCCAAACTACAAATTGAATTTTTTTAAATAAATAAACTACGCGTCTGGCATTTGGAGGCAATTATATGGAAATTGCCTCAAACGTAAAGAGGATGGAGGGGAAAAAGGTGCTTTTCTCACTCCATTATCTCAAACGTAAATAATAGAGTGCTCATACAAGCAATATGTTTTGCCATTTTCCGAGCTGCCCTTGAAAGTCAAGAAATGCCTTCAAATGAAAAGTGACTGGTAATGATCTATTTCCTTGTTAAACAATCGACTGCGATCGCACGATCCTAGCCGTGGAGTTTTGAAGCTCCAAACGAAATGTCAAGGTGCGCCAGAGCGCAGGGTCCAAGTAATTTTTTGCATTAGGCAACTTACTTTTGAGATTTATCTTACCCTAAGTAATTTCCTGAGCGCCAATATAATGGGAACACGAGAAACAGTTTGGGTCATTTTCACGCAAATAATAAATGCCGGCAAGATACATCATCTCCGATTATCATGGTTGGCTACCGACAGTGCATAAGAAGTTCAACCTACATACATACATATCATATAGCCAGACACTAACATTATGCCTGAATCATGTAGCTATTTTGGCCATCACTGTGCCACTTTTTGGTCAGATGATAAGCAGCATTTGAATACAATTGGATGTATCCTGCATCTTTTGCCATAAGGTAATAATTATCCACAGATACACAAGCCACCCCGTGTTCATTTTGCACAGCTAAATATCTGCTCAATCATCCCAAAATAAATGTTTCGTCCGCATTGACTTGCAGGATGGCACCACTGACATCCTGTGTCACCGTCGCTCGACAAACACCCTCATCGCCGCTCCTCTGTCTCTGAAGGCCCCCCTCTGACTATCACCTCTACGGGTGTTCCTTTAACACATGGTGGAATCACTACTATCTCGAAACCGGACTTTAAATTCTCACGATTTAAGTTTTAGTTGAGCTCTCTCCCTTGGCCTCATAACCACCGCCTCCAAACTCCAAACCCTCCATTATCTACCATCCATCAAACACAATGGTAAACTTATATCTGTGCCTTTTCATCTCCACTTTAGGTCTGTCATCTTCTCAATGAACCATCATCGGTAATTTCAACATCCATTGTCAACAGTCTGTCTAATTCCATGTCAGCAACCTCCCGATCGTTCTTGAAATCCATGGACCTCACCAAACTACTGAAGTACTTCCAATCACCAAACTTATACACTAAACAGAGATTCCATTTTGACCACGTACCTCCTAAACTAGGATATTACACTGGCAAAGAGTGTGTCGACCAAAATATGATACGTGATTTATGCGGATTATGAATATGTATTGGTTTATTATATCACGAATAGCGATTTCAAAGTAAATGTTGCGTAAATTATAATATTTGTTTGTGTCAAGGCGGCATTACTGAAATTCACCTATTCTCAGACGGATACATTGAATGACTAAATCACTTAGAACTAAATCTCATATAGTTGCTCTTCATTAGCCACAAAAAAAAATCGTAAAAACAATTACAATCACTATTTGACTGGGGCCAAATTTAAGCAGAAAAAGGGGAAATAAAAATGAAGATCTTAACAATATTACAACACTGAAAGGAATATATATTACAATTAAGAAAACTATAATGAAACAATGATAAATATATCGTACCCTTTGGTTGCATGAGCGGAGGTTTTGTAAAACCTCAAGACAACAGACACATGAGCCTCAGTTCTAGGCAATTATGCGCGCTGATATTACTTGCGCTTTCATAAATATCAATCTATATTTTCAGGCTTTCCACATTAGCTTTTAGATGAATGGTGTTCACCATCAATCTTGGGTAAAAGGCTTTTTTACTACAGTCTCCCAGTCAACAGACAAACAGAATACTACAACAGTAGCAGTTGTATCGATTTCACATCAATCCTCATATTAATGCAGCAACATATGACTTATATTTCTCTACCTGCCCACTGGTTTTAAGAGCAATTGTTGTCACCAACCGTAAATCTATAGGTGGATCATAATACAATATTTGGATAACATAACAATTTAATATTTTTTTTCTCCCAAAAGGCCATTCCCTTCCTGAATTGAATTACGCTTCTACAGCTTGCTACAATTTTACCGTGAAACAAATTACATTCAATATATAACACGTGCGATGGTGTGGGGAAGTCTTCACAAGCAGTGATTGGACAATGGCTGACTATAATGAGACGTTAAGTACCTCGCCTGGTATACAGGGGGTCGCGGTTTGGATCCGGACCCTCACGCCTGTATATTTGGAGTTTGCATGTTCTCTCCGTGGTCGCGTGGATTTTTTTCCGGGTGCTCCGGTTTTTCCCTCCACATTTGGAATGAACATGCGTTTAGAGTGTTTGGATGCTATAAATTTCCACGCGAAAAGCCTCTTTGTTGAGTTATCATTTGTGGCCTGGTCGCTTCTGAAAAATATCTGTATATCTCAGTGAGTCTTACCTGGTAAAATAAAAATAGCTTAGCTTATACCAGTACTTACAACTCACTCATTGTTTTTTTCGGTAAAGTCACGTATGTAGAAATACAATAAAATTATATTAAAACAAAAAACAATCACGACGTTTCGATGACAACACAAGCGATCTTCATCAGGTGTCAAGAACAAATCACGGAGGTAAATACAACAAAAAGATGAGAGACGAGAATTCAACAAACCTGAAAAAAACATTATGTGAAGCACATCCAGTCAGGCCAACAACACATTTAGACACTTCCTGGCGGACCACGAATTTCAGAAGAGTGTTAAATTTCGTGTTCAACCTTTGGATATGCTGGTATGTGCAAGATATCTATGCTGGTATGTGCAATCCAAAGGTTGAACACGAAATTTAACACTCTTCTGAAATTCGTGGTCCGCCAGGAAGTGTCTAACTGTGTTGTTGGCCTGACTGGATGTGCTTCACATAATGTTTTTTCAGGTTTGTTGAATTCTCGTCTCTCATTTTTTTGTTGTATTTACCTCCGTGATTTGTTCTTGACACCTGATGAAGATCGCTTGCTATGTGTTCAAAACGTCGTGATTGTTTTTTGTTTTAATATAATTTAATTGTATTTCTACATACGTGACTTTACCGAAAAAACCAATGAGTAATTTTATGCAGTCACGAAAGCTTTAATACTTTATTACTTACAACTCGATATGGAGAACCGATGGAAAAAACACTTCCTGCATCCAGTAAATTAAAATTGACCAGCCGAAAATTGTACCATTATTAATATAAAATATTTAACGTGCAACACGTGCTAAATTGGTGTTTCCATCTGATGGTCGTTTTTAATCACGAATAAGAGATTTTGAGCCCAGATTTGCTTCATGATTGTGGGTTATGACCCTTGATGAATATTCCATTATAAATCAATAAGCACACCTCTCAGCCATCGGATATAGATGATAAATAAATCCACTGCTAGATGAGGGCCTACATATCATGTCAGTCAATGGGTTTGTGTGAACGTACCTGACCACGCCGGTCATTGCAAGTTGGTGAAGTAGAGGAGAGCGAGGTTGTTCAAGAGATGTTTGAATATTATTCACCACTGACGTTAGCCATGGGTAGCAATATGCCCAGGTAGGCCTGCTTCATAGTACACTGCTCTAAGTGAACCATTGCACCACTGCTGCACCCCTTACTCATTATACAATCTTGCATGTTTGAAATCACCCAGCGGTTTATACATTTCCCAAAACCTTGTTGGTTATTGAGGTTGTTTGAGTTGGTGGCCAGGGCTGGTTCAGATATCACTGGCTACTGATGATAGCTGTGGCCAGCAAGAGAGCTCGGATCGCTGGGTTAACATGCACGGTGCGCTAACCACTGTGCCACGGCTCACCCACATGTTTGTTACAGGGTCTACTTTCTCCAGGGGATTTCTGTCACGACTTCTCCACCCCGAACTGTAAACACGATAAGGTGAGCCGACGGGGTCTTGTTTGCTTTGTTAGCTCAGCCAGCGTGAACATGATCCAGACGCCTGTCACGGTGTGGTCCCCATTCACACATCTGTGAATCCCTCTTCTTGGTCCCTTCCATTAAGCTTTCGGTGGTGGCTGTCACGTGCTTGGGACGGCTGCCACGAACGCCGTGCACCGGGACACGTTACTAGCCTTGCTCTGTGCGAGCCCTCAACAACAAACGCGGGGCACTGCCTCCTCAACTCAACTCGTCTCGCCAATCCATTGGGGCCCCTTCTCAAGCCCAGCACTGCTTTGGCCACAGCGTGACTTCTATTGCATCCATCATCATTAGCTAAGATAAATCCACTGCTGGATGAAGGCTTCCCCCCTCCCTCCCCCCCAAGCTGTCGCCATCTCTCAGGATGCTGCGATTGAACAATACTCCGACCACCAGCACACAAGCAATTGTTCAGTATAAATTGCGTGAACGTGAAGATCGCAAGGCAAGCTTTGCGGGAAAATTTAATTGGAAGTGTGCGCGTACGTGTTTGCTTAGATTTAAACATCTCGGTCGTTTGGTACGTCATGTACGGTGTGGAAAAGCGTGGGTATTTCCACTTATTCTAAGATATTTGGGCCAGCTTAGAATTTGAGAATTACCCTTTAGGGGGGCTCTCTTGAGCTTCCTCTAGCAGAGGCCCTCCTGCCGGTAGCAGCATAGGCAAGAAGTGGCAGTGATGCATCTTTACCTTTTGCACACACAGTATTAAAAACTATATATATTTAAAAAAATACCAGGTAAGGTCCACTGAGCTATTTAGCTGTTTTATCCATCACCCTATTGGGTCACCAAAGCAATGTGATGACAAATAATAGTTATGCATTTGTTGGAGGAGATACAGAACAACAACACATTATGACTTGTTACGCAATATATGTACACATAATTTGAGTGTCATTTCGTACTCGTGGCCTCGTTTAGAGCACCCTGGTTTCAACCCAGACCTGGAAAGCCAGTCTTTTAAACAAGCCTCCATTTTGTTATTGGATTCTGAGCTTATGTCTTTTGAACTTCAAAGTCTCTATGAACTCGTATCTCTATTGTGACAACTTTTGATGTTTTGCTTTTGTTGGTGCCATTTCTTTATTTGAATTTTTGTTTATATTTTCTCGATAGTAGGGTTTTAATTTGCTTGGTAGTAGCTGTTTCTCGGTTTTGGTCCATATATATAATTAATGTACAGCATTATGGAATGCAATTAGCATGAATGACGCTATATAAAGTGAAAGTATTATTTATAGATAGACAAACATAACATTTCCGAACGTTTGTGTGAGTGACCCAACACATTTCTCCAAAAAAAGTAGCACGTAGGTTTCCGCAGCCACTCGCAATTGCAAGTGTGGTCTTTCAGGTTAGGCCTTGTGTTGAGTGTGCCTCTTCTTCAGCTTTTGCCACACACTACTTAGGGCATCTTTCTGCTCGTCCAGCCACCTTAAGGAGATGAAAATGGCCACAGTGGCACGTAGCAAAAGTTTGAGAGGTGATATACTCAACGGCACCTAAACCGAAAAAGCCCTGAAAATGGAAATGTGCTCAATTTCCAGAAGCAGGACCTTCGTAGTGTGAGTCATGATCCAGAATGAATAAAATAGTTGATTTTAAACAATTGATGGTGAATAGTAAGTCTTGACAAAGACAATGACAGTGAGCCAGGATTATTCACACACCATCTCCCGCCTGGCTTTCATATGTGCTTAGTTGATGATTGCATTGCTCCAAGGTGCATGACTTTCGCAGGCAGATATTTGTTTTCGGAATATATATAAAATGTCTTTGTTCACGATGGATCTGTTCACTGTTCCGTTATACAATCAAAGAGGGATGGCTACATAAGCAAATATCCCTTTCGCTCTCAATAGGCAAACGTGATGATGAGAAAAAGTGTTAAACCCTTTGGGCAATATAAATGTAGACTTTAAACTTTCGTGGCTGCAGTAATTCATATTCTTGGTTCTTTTGGTAAAGTCATGTAGATAAGATTTTCAAAAGTAAAAATTTAAATAAACATTTTTTTTAACAATACATGGGCAATGACAGCAATGACAACATTGTCCATGATAGAGGTGTCTTAGGTTATATTACACAAATATAAATGTGTCGTTAAACCGGCCACCACCCGATACAGCCAATTAGTCAGTTTGTCACGTGAACAAAACATGGCAATTCGTTACTAGTACAACACAAATACTCGAATTGTAAATGTTGTGGGTTTACTCTCCAACACACTGGTGATGAAACTAACTAATTGACTGTGTCGGGTGGTGGCGTGTTTAACGACACATTTATATTTACGCGATCTAACCCAAAACACCTCTATTATAGATAACATTGGTCGCGAAAGCCTACTTGTTCAATGGCAACATTACAACTGTAATGGGAATTGCTGCAGATGGTGGCGATGATGTTGATGATGACTGGCAGCGACAATCGTGACGCTGAACAAATTCCGGAGAGTGTCATTAAAACAACAACAAAATCACTTCCAAGCCTTGTGTCAATCAATCACTGAATGAAGGCTAACCGTGGTGAAGTATGGTCAAACAATACTCATTATTAAAAGGCATGGGGGAGTCTTCATCCGGCATTTGATTGACAAAGGTGTGAAAAAAGCGAACGTTAAACCGTGTTGTCAATTTGTAAATTGTTATTATGAAAAAATAAAACGTAGACATTGCAATTAAAATATCACAATTAATATTTTTCCGCAATTTTTTAAGGAAATGCACACATACACACACACGTGTATGCATAAACACGCTGTATATGCTGCAGCGTGCAATCGAAATCAAAAAAGCAAATTAAGCGTTGATCAAACATTCGGCTCTCAGGAAGATAATTTACATTCTTATCATGATGCTGATCACGCGCGATTCCTGTCTGTATGAAATGCACAATAAAATCTCTTACTTTTATTTTAAGATCTGTAATACATCAATGTGTAAAAAAGGGAAACTGCAAGCTGTGTTGAGCCCTAATAAAAAGTTAATGTGAACGTGGTGTTCCATTCTATTCTTTCACCAGGGCCCGGGCACTCTTGTCACGACTGGCAATAGAAATGCACGTGATCACAGAGATGTGTTGAGATAAACACACACCATAGATTAATAGTAATAATCGTGACAGTTTCCTGGAAAATGAGGGTGCCTACATATTGTTGGCATATTATACAGATATATATTTTTTGGGCTTGAGTTACAATTATTGTTACTATTACCATTTGAATAAAAAGCATAATTTTAATATATTTTATTATGTAAAGGTAAAGTGACACAGCTTTGGATGGGTCACATCACTGCTGTTGGAGGGGCCTCCACCAACAAGGCTACAGAGGTCCTCTTCAGTGAAAAATGTTCGCCCCCCCCCTCACTCTTCCACACTAGTCAGACATTTTGGCAGAGTACTCATACTTGACGCCACCACACGCGGACATGCCTATTGCCGAGTTATAACGCTGCTCGGACAGATTTGGAAGACTTTCTTTCGATTGCCCCGACGTGGATTGCAAGTCCAATGTGCTGACAATTACACTCCGGCAGCATCCTAATTACATCGTGTAGTGTAAAACAAACCCCCCAAAAAAACCCCCAACAAACTTTACACTCATGGAGGGAAAAAAAAATGCAACGTGGAAAAACGCACCAAATTGATCTGGATGCAAAACACAGGAGAACTGAGCTCATTAAATATATGTGCATAAGCGATAAACAAAGAGCAGGGCATTCTCCAAGGTAATGTGAAAGGGAAATACACACACACACACACCCCGCCCCGCACTCCCCCACAACCCCCAAGCGAAGACAAATATCCCCCGTATAACCTTAACAGATTGTTGGGGCAAGTGTTGCTAGTGAGCACCCTACGAAGGTCGACACAGCACACGGGGGGGGTAATTTCTGAGCGCTAACCGCTGCTCCACCACTCCCCATACAACCCACAAACACACACTCACATCTGCATGGCGATGTTTTACATGCCCATGCAGAAAGAGAGAAAAAAACGCACGCAGGGAAACGGAAATGCACGTACGCGCACACACAGAACGCACACGACGTTGGGAAGTAAAAAAAAAAACAGACGGGAATTATATTATGCTCGTGCCAAAATACTGGTGCTGTTTACAGCTGACCCCTTCATCACTAATCTTTGTTGACAGTGTTGGCCAACCACCAATTGAAATAATTATTATCAGCCACCCGTCTGCAGACAATGCTGGTGGCTGTTGCTGGAAGCATTGTTAATTAGCCTTCTTCACATTTGCAGTGTAAATGCTCGAGAGCCGTTGAAGGCAATGAATGGATTCATGCAAATGTGGGCACTAGAATCATCCTTCTTGCATGATACGGTCACAAAGCCTGCACGCCTATCAACGCCACATGAGACTGAAAAACTACAAATGCTAAATGTACGCTTTTGTGATTTTTTTTAAGTCATAATGCAATATTAACACGTTTATATTTGGTTTAATACGTTAGGCTTTCGCGACCGATATTATTCATGGTAAAAGTTTTGTTTGGGTTAGATCGCGTAAATGTGTCGTTAAACCCTTCGCCATACGACACAGCCAATTGGTAAGGTTTGTCACGTAAACAAAACGTGCCAATTAGTTTTACTACTGCAGCACACCGGTGTGTTTTAGAAAGTAAACCCACAACAACATTCACAATTCGGGTACCATGACGTATCGCCGATAATTACATTTACGCGATAAAACCCCAAAACCTTTATTATCAGAATGCAAGACTTGCAAGTGCATGGCTGTCAGTGAGATTATAATATTTTCTTTAACCTCATTGGCAATGTAGACAATGATCTCGTGGAAAATCTGAATGTAAAATGCCCACTGCAGCATGTGTATAACAGCAACACGAGTTATTAGTACATTTAATCTGGTGAGTGGTCATTTCTTAGCGTACTCTTATTGATAAAACTCTGCATGTACATGCAGCCAGCACAAACATATTTCAAAGAGGCTAAATTACTATTATGTAAAAAAAGTCAACTGCAAACATTAGACCAGCAGTTCCTATCACAACAGAGTATTGGAATAATTAGTTTTGTACATTTGCGTATTTACTTCTGAAATATTTTTGCATTTTTATGTTTGCATGCCGATTTTACTTACGTATAATTTCGTACAAATTTCCAGGAATATGTGAGTGGATTGCACTTTTGAATACATGTTTTTCCCGTGCTTTATTATAATTGTAGATGCATGCATTTGTATTCTGAACTCTTTCTTTGTGCCTAAAGAGTTTGTCAGTGTATTTTCTTGCCTTGCACCTTGAGACATATATAATGCATCACTCACATTTCAGTGACAAGTCTTTAAGCCCAGGTGCATATTCCTACACAGCACGCAATGCTTCCAATGCTATTGGTAAATGGCCGATTAAATTAATTGTGAGGGCATAATTGGGGTTTAAAAAATCGATTACATTGAAATTTAGATTTGCAATGTGTAATGCTGGACATAAATTTTTATTTGCAAATGCAATGCTTTTCTGATTTGCCTTCAACGTTCCCTTCATGTAAATCCCATGAAATGTGGAAGATGATGTCTTTCTATGTAATTGCATGCATTGGAAGGTGCAAATGGAGGGTATTTAACATTCCAGACTAACTCTTCGAGGATGAATACTATTTAAAACAATAGAAAACAGAGCGGTCATAATTTTTATATACTGTATGTGTCTCTCGCAATCCAAAGGAACATATATAATTAAAGGTGGAAATAACTGGATTAATTCGTGAATATATATAATACCGTCAGAGCAAGTGAACAGAATGATGCCGAACGACCGTCAGTACAACCCGAAAACGCATCACTAAGCCTACGTACAAAATGCTTCATATTAATTGTCTTCTACATGACTCTGTAATCAATATTGATCAGCAAAGCCGTTACTCGTGCATTATTGGGCAGGTTGAATTTGTGTACGCACATATATACTGTATATTCGTGCTCCACCGAAAATATCCGTCAATGTGCCGGACACTACGTCATTCATGTCAACCGCCCGAGCCACCGAACCCAATGCCAATCATCTCCCTACATCCAAACCATCTTTCATGCCTGCCTTCCAATATTTCTTTGCTCTTGGTACGGAGATAAGAGGTTGTAACAAAGAGCTAACACTGCATGTATATATTATGGGGTGGAGTAGTGGTGCAGTGGCTAGCGTGCTGCCCTATGAATCTGGGTACCCGAGTGCGATTTCTGGCCACGGCTAACATCAACGGCGAGTGATATCAGAACCGCAGAAGCAGTCCTGCCTCTCCCACCTTCACTAACCCAGACTGACCCCAACGGCCGACATGGTGTGGGGAAACCCGTCATTCATTGGTGGATGGAGAAAGGCAGGAATCTATTTTTGTAATATATTTAAATGTACCCCAAGTTCAATTTCGTTATGACAAGTCTGCAAGAAGGTGAGCTGCACAGTGTCCTCTTTAGAGGAATAAGGAGCAGTGTCCTTGTGAAACTTTCGGTAATAAATGAGACGGTCGTGCGACACGACGCATGAAGATTGTGAAGAGGGCATTTCCTCTCGCGATAGCGGCTACGCTTAATATCCTGAAATTCCTTTGGCACATTGAAGAGATTGTCTTTATCATTCGTAAGATTTTTTTTTCGTCCTCTGCTTCAAGCGATTGCTTCGCTGTGCGATGCGGTTGTCTGGTCACATTGTCTGACCTATTAAGTGTGAGCTGGCAAGCTTTTTAATATCAAAGAAGGGACCAGCAGTATGCGAGTCCCTATACACCCTACTACAGATCACACTTTTATCTACTTTAATAGGACTCTGATATGTTTTTTAAACAATGTTGTATATTATACATTACCTATTACCATGCAACTGTACTTATGGAGTGACCCAGTGGCTCTGCGATAAGATTCGCCAGGACATGGATTTCATTACTGCTCCAGTGCACACAGCTGCTCAAAATAATTGGGTAGCAACTGTCCTTCCATTTCATTCTGGATCCCATCTTATAAAAGTAGAGCCCAGGATAATAATCCGACAGCGGTAGTTGATTGGCCACCTGCTCAGATATTAAACTAACACCGGCCTAAGCCATTAGGGCTTCAAATTGTGCCCTTACTGACCACAGAATGAGGCTGTGAAAAGCATGTCA